TGGAGTCACTGGTTCTCGCGTCTAAGTAGTAGCATTCCATTCATGAGATCATATCTAAACATGCTTATTAACTCCAGAAATTGCTCTCTTTGTGATATATATATGTGAGTGTTCGTTTTCATTAATCTTCTCACAAATGACTAGATTAGGGTGTGTAGTTAGAAAATCTGAGTGAAAATCGAGTGCATATCTTGTAAGGAATTGAGCAAATTCTCTAAGGCATGTTACTACATTCAAAACATGGTTTTAAATGCTTAATTGTGAAATAGTATGTGGTGACTATGATTAAGAATGTACTTAAGTGTGAAGATGACTAAAATCTGTGAGAATGATGATTTTTAACATGTCATGTGCATTGGAAATCCCTGAGACGATTGTTAGAAGGTTTAGGTTGTGTTTTACTTGTTTTGTTTCGTTTCGTTTTGTTTTGTTTTTCTTTCTGTTTTGCTCGAGGACTAGCAAAAGATAAGTGTGGGGGTATTTGATAGGAGCATATTCATGCGACTTAAATGGCTTGTTCTCGTGCATTTACGTTATGTTTCATTAGTTATTTTAGTCCTTTATGCTTCTTTTGTGTGTTTTCAGGTTCTAAGGGCAAAGTATGCAAAATGGTGCATTTTGGTGCATTTTGGAGTAGTTTGGGGCGTTAAATGGATTGGCTATACTTGAAGCCAAGTAGATGGACGAAATTGAAGACCAAAGGAGGCCCTTTGTACCAGAAATTCACACCAACACATCCCATTTCAGATTGCATTCCAATCATTCCAGCCAAGCCACATGCACTCCCTTTAATTTATTCAACCTAGCTGTCAAAGCACATGCACATTCACCCTAATCATTCACATACACAATCTGCCATCATTCACACATTCATTCCACATGCATTCCCTTCACAAATCAGCCACATGCACTTTGCCTTTCATCATTGCACCATAAATCAGCCACATGCACCCATAATCATTCATCCAACTTTGCACATGCATTCATCATCATAACCTAGCTGTCATTACCCTTTAATCACATGCATAAATCAGCCACATGCATCTCCCATCACCATTTCAGATTTCCACCAAGTTCCTAGCTGTCATATTCCCTCCTTTTCACCTATAAATAAGCATCCATTGCAGCCACAATTCATTCATTCCCATTCATACACAATTCATTCACCATTCACGCCAGAAATTCATCCCCTCTCTATAACACATCCATACTTCACCATTCTTCATATTTTCTGCCCAAAAAGAAGCCTTGAGGTCCCCTACATCCATCCCTATCCTAAACACATCATTCTACACCATCCATAACTCCCCATCCCTCCAAACCTATCCTTAGACCTTGTGCTACAACGAAGAGGAGGAGAAGAGTGCCTAAACGTTCATACAATTCAAGTTTGAGTTGTTGGAATGTTTAGGTGTTTCTTTTCCTCGATTCCAATGTTTAATTTCAATTCTCTTTGTTTTGTACGTATGAGGAACTAAACCGCCCCTTGGCTAGGGGGGGATTCGAAATATATGTTTATGCTTGCATTTTGATTTGATTACTTCTAATTGCGTTTCATAAGTTGTGGATTCAATTTGTTTAACTGTTTGATTGATAACTTATTTATGTATGTTTATTGAGAGTATACGCTTAATTTTCATGCATGAATATGACGCTAGAATATAAGTGAGTTTCACCTAATAGTTACGAACTTATATTCACAAGTAGTGGAGGTTGCTTATAAACAATCGCGTTAAACGAATTCTTGGCATAAGTTTCATGCAATCATAGTAACGAATGCCTCGTCAACACTTATAGTTTTCATGTTGCTTAATGATTCTTGCTTGTTTCTCTATTATGCAATTCATGTAGGGAACTTGTGAGGAATGCTTTGGGTTGTCGTATGCAATCATCCAATTCATTAACTTAAGGAAAACTTGACGGTTAATTTAAGCGGACCTAATTAACCCGGGGCGTTGAGAATTCATGGTTTATTGAAATGCAATTGGAAATCTTTTTATTATGCAAGTGTAACATGTGTGGAGATGAACCCCTTAGCTAGCCATCTCATCCATTCAATTCCATCACATTCATCTTTACAATCTGTTTTTAAATACAATCTGTGCATTTTAGTTAATTTCGTCAAAAACTCAATCCCCCTTTACTTTAATGTCCAAATTAGTTAGAAAGTGTTTTAGTTTGTGTTTATAAGTGTTTTGATTCAATTTGTTATACAAATTCGTCCAAATTCACCAAAGTGCTCAAAACTGCCCAGAAAGTGTTTTTAAGGCAGTTTTGAGTGTTTTGGGTGATGTTTGAGTCTTTTGGTTTGTTTTAGTGTTTTAAGTGTTTAGTTTTGCATTCTTTGAGTCAAGTTTAGTGTTTTAAACTTTGTTTTTGAGTTTTTAAGTCAGTTTCCAAGTGTTTAGCAATCCCTCCTAATCCCCGGTTAAGAACGATCCCTACTTACATCTTTACTACAATTTGACAAAAAGAGGGTTTAATTTGTGTGCGTATAATTCTCGCATCAGTAACACATACATGTGTTTAAACATATCGACTATAACAATGTGCTCTTTTACCATATTCAAATTGAATTTTTCTTCTTAATTATAGTGTAGATGAATTAATATAAAAAAACACTAGTATTAAAAAATTAAAAAAAAAAGGGGTAGGGGTTGGGCAACTGGGAGGATCCCTTGCCACCAAATTCACCTAATCAGAGATCCAGGCTGTTGGATTTTGATCCAACGACTACAGTTATTATAACTTTTAAAGTGACCCCCTGTTTATAGCCGTTGAATCAAATTTCAACGGTCCAGATCCCGAACTAGGTGAATTTGGTGGAAAGGAATCCGGAGGCAACTGAAAATAAAAATGGAGTAGAATAGAAAACAAGAAATGGATTGTTGTCACTCTTTTTCTTTGACCTAGCCTTTCATGTTTTACTCTCTTTTTCTGTTTGGTTATGCTAATATTACATACGTAGAAGTAGCTGGGCAAGAAGCACGCTTGCATACAAACGCGTATCAATTTGAATGACTGGACTCAAAAAAAAAAAAAAACATGAATGTGAATTCTGAACAAAATATTGTCCTAATAATGTAATGTCAATTACAAATTTGTTTAGTTATATGTCAATTAGATCTAAGTCAAATCCTTTGTTTTCTTCTTTTTCCTCCAATTGGCTTGAAGTTGCCGGAAGTTCAAAAATCTTCTTTTGTCTAGCCCTTTTTTATATATAATTTTTTCAGTATGACCTAACACCTCATCATGGGCTCGTTTAGAACGGTTTCTAAAATGACTGAAATTTTTTTTTGTAAAAATATTTTTGAAAATAATTTCTACTAAAAATGCAAGTAAATCATAGAAAAAAATAATATTTACAGTGTTTCCTACAATAAGTACATAACTGGTGCTTCTTGTAGGAAGCACTTTAAGTGTTTTTAAAATCCAGAAATATGTTCTTTAAAAGTGTTTTTAGTCATTTTAAAAAGTACTTATAAATAAGCTCTATGTTATCATTTATTAATTTATGTAATAGCACGTGAATTTATGTACTAGTACTATATTCTAATTATATTTTGTATCAACCATATGCGTTAATTTATATTAGGACACGCTAATTAATAGTGTTATATACGGCCATCTGACAATAATATTGAAAATTTTATTATTTTCGTCGTAAATCCCACGTATTTGTGCAAAAGAAGTCTACTCTTTTCTATTCGTACAACCACTATCTTTCATAAGATTTGAGTTCCTTTTCATAATATAATAGTTGAATTCATAACCTCCTTTGCTAATAAGAAATTTAATTGGATGTCACCAAATGAAATAGTGCTTGAGTCAAAATCAAGAGAGAAATTTACGTATAAATTGTTGCTATTGAGCACTTACCTAGTAATTTGCGAATGCTATCGTTTGACCGAAAGCCCGTCTGATTCTTGGGTCAGTTGGGTCAAAAGGTCAAGGTCATCTTCAACAAACCTTCACAGAAAGTTTCAATGCAACTTCCATACATCTAACGACTGCTTGAAAACCAGTTCGGTCACAACGACCACCATCACCACCACCAAACAAACACCACGAACTTACCACCACAAAATCCCACTTCGCCACGTGTCTATATTTGATTGGAAATTTGTATTTGTGGTGCATGCAGAAAATAAATATTTGACCATTAGGTAATATAGACCAAAGAATGGAAACAATAAGCTAATGGTTAGGTGTTGTTATTTATTGATTAGGTAATTAAATTTGTCATTTTCAAAATTTGAACTTAAAACTTCTCACATACTGACTCATTTATTTATGAATATTAGGTACGAACCTTACATATTTTGGTACGGTACTGTTAGGGTTTTTATCCCATATTCAGTCAATGATGTTTATTTGATGTTTTTATCCCTAACGAAGATACACCATGAACGATATGGTTTTGAAGCGAATATCTATGAAAACATAGTTTTAGGTAATTTGTGAATAAATAGTTGTCGGTATCACCAAACTTCAATTTAATTACAATATTATCACCGCATCCACATACAATATATTTATAATATAGTTATCGCTCCATTGTTTTTGCCTTTGTTAAAACTTTATAAAGTGTTTTTCATTACATATTTTTTTAAAGTCAGAAGAAGTTAACTAGTCAACCATCAACAGCGGCATATGAAAAGTTAATATTTTGTCCCAAAAAAAGAAGGATGAGTTAGTATATTATACGTCGGTCATACAAGTGGAAAGTACGAAGCGGTTTTTAACATTGCGTAGCCAATACCATCACAATCTACAGGTTTGAAATCGGATTCCCTTTTGAGCTTAGGAGGCTGAGTCTCCTGAGTAAAAGATCTGGACCGTTGAAATTTAATCTAATGGTTACAAACATAAAACCCTTTAAAAATTATAATAATTACAACCGTTGGATTAATTTTTAAACATCTGTGTTTTGATTTGGATATAAATCTGCACGACAGCGCTGAAATTGCAGCCGTTGCAGAAACAAAGAATAAATATTTAATAATAATATCCATCTTCTTCCGCTTTCAGCGTCCTCCAAGAATCTAACTCCGCTCGTTTTTCACATCTTCTTATTACACTCCAACCGTTTTTTATTATTTCAGTTTACTCCAAACCTATTTTAATTATTTTCAGTTTACTTCAACCTCTTTTTAATTCAATTCTGTTTAGTATATAAGAGTGTCGGCACAGCAACCTCATCCTTAATTATCTCAACCAACAAATGGGGAGTCCTCCTGCGAAGAAAGTCCTGCTCACCTCCAATGGTGACGAGATTTCACAGAGCATCTCCTTCTCTCTGGCCCAACGCGGCTGCAGGTGATTAAATCTCCGTGGGCTGAATCAAATGTGAAATTTTGAATTTCGGGTTTTCTGGGTCGGATTCCATTTGGGTGCATTTTGTGATTAATCTGACAAATAGGTTTTGAGATTTATTCTGTTCTGTGTATTAAAGATTTGATTTTTTGGTTTGTTTGTTTGTTTGTTTGTGTTATGAATAAGCAGGTTGGTGTTGATGGGGAAGGAGAGCTGCCTACGGGGTATTGTGCAGAAAATAACGGGCTCACTGGAGGGTGCGGTGGCGCCGGTGGAGGTGGTGGACGTGGACATGGAGGACGAGACGGAGGGAATTTTTGATGAGGCGGTGGAGAAGGCATGCAGCATCTTGGGCAATTTGGATGCATTTGTGCATTGCTATACTTACGAAGGTAAAAGTTTCCTTCAAGACTGCTCCAATCCATTTTCTCTCGGTCGGAGATAATTTGAAAGATGATTTTCCTTTCAAAGAACATTGAATTTAGTGAGTTATCCAATCCAAATCAATAATGTGTGCCAAACGAGGCGAGGAGTAATACTTGAGACTCCATTCCTGTAAAGTGTTAATAAAAAATTGTCACAATTTGGCATCTTTATTCATCTTTTTGATTCTTTGTGGCTCCCTTGGTATAGTTTGGAAGTATTAGTATTATAAAATATGAACATATACATCTGATTAGTTATTTAGCAAGTGGAACTTGGTGTGGCCATGGGATCACTATAGTGCGGCAAAAAATGCTGATGTGGAATTGACCTTTTGTAAGTTTGACAAACATGACAGTAACTTTTTGGGGGAAGATTTTCAATTTTTTCTTGGAAATCTGTTGATCCCGTGTTAAAACATGTTTAACACATTTTTTAATATACGGACGTTCTTCACCATCTCGTGTTTAGCCTCTTTTTTGTCATGTGCATATATGCACAGTTTGTTGCAGATTAATTGAACCTAAGCAGAGCGATCATTACTGGTTTTTTTAACAGGAAAAATGCAAGACCAGCTGCAATTAGCTGAAGGTGAATTCAAAAAGATAATGAAGATTAACTTTATGTCTGCATGGTTTCTGTTAAACGCTGTTGGCAGAAGAATGCGAGATTACAAGTCAGGAGGTTCAATCGTGTTCTTGACCTCGATAATTGGAGCCGAAAGAGGGCTTTATCCAGGAGCTGCTGCTTATAGTGCATGTTCGGCAGGCCTTCAGCAGTTAGCTAGGGTATGTTTATTGGATTCGTTCGTGCACATACACTCTGATATATCTACTGCGCATATGTTTTCTGAGTAATTTGGAAAATGAACTTTTATAGTATCAGTCAGGAGTCAAAACTATCCCAACCATTCATATCTGTATACGAAAACCAAATTTGCAACCTTGGTTTTACAGGGTTTTATGTGATTGATCTCTCATTAGGTGGCTCGACATAACCAGAATCAAATTAATTTTTAAGGAGATACACTGATATGTCTCATGATCATGATTGATTTTTTGTCACGTCTTATTGTGGGATGGTTAGCTAACAGAACAATTGCTTATGTGTTGGATGGTGTTGGGTCAATTCAAGAGAGATATAATAGGGTACAAGTAGAGAAATATAAGTTGCCACATCGATGAGGAGAAGTCTCATTGAGTTTGTGAGCATACTCCTAAAGTTTTGATCAGTCAAGAAGCTGCTAGTACTTTGTAGACTGTAGGGCTTTTGATGTACTTGAACTTCTGTCATTGTTCTTCATATCAGTTCTACACTTTTAGGTGTATCATCATTGGGACAACCTTGTAAGGTGTCGTTGTTTTGGCATCTCCTAATCCAACTTTACAATTTACACACCAAAGGCATAAGCGTTGAACGGTTTTTACAACGTTGTTATTGTATTTTGAGGTTGCAAGTTCAATTTAGGATGCCTCTGTTGCATACCTCCAAAACTTTAGTGCATTTTGAACTGCTTGTTGCATATCTCAACTCATAGTACACTGTACTTTTACTTTTTATGTTTCATTTTAGTTGAATATTCTGAAAATTTCTCCTGTTGCTATTTTCAGACGTCAGCCCTGGAGATTGGACGATACCAGATTAGGGTCAATGCTATTGCCCGTGGTTTGCATCTACAAGACGAATTTCCAATTTCTGTGGGAATAGAGAGAGCAAAGAAGCAGGTGATGGAGGCAGCTCCATTGGGGAGATGGCTTGATGTTAAAAATGATCTGGCTTCAACTGTCATATATTTAATCAGCGATGGGTCACGGTACATGACAGGCACAACAATATTTGTGGATGGAGCACAGTCTCTAACTAGGCCTCGGATGCGTTCTTTTATGTGATTCTTCTCCTTTTTTTTCCTAGTGAGGTAATGTAATGTGATCCATTCAAAATTTCGCGATTCATATGGAACAGAGTGAAAAAATACTACATTTGAATTGTGGATTGTAAGGGCTGGTTTGGTATTTCTGTACTTTGAAAAAAACTGTTTCTGCTATGATGTGAAAATAAACTCATTTTTGTTACTTCACGTTTTTAGTTTTTTTTTTCCGCCTAAAACTGTGAAAATAAGTTGTTTTTAAGTGTCTGCCAAACACCTTTTTGAGCTTAACTTTTTTTATACCCATTTTTTATAAAAGCACGTCAGTACAAAACCAGTACCAAAGGTGCTTAATTTTGAAGCATTCTGAGGCTCAAAACCAGTACCATAGCATTTTGAAGCTATGGTTTCATGATCAGTGATGACAATGTACAAACAACCTTTTAGTTTTGGGATGGAAATAAGTTCAAATGGACTGGTCCTCTTTTCATGCTAAAGCAGCAGAGCTGCAGAGGTTAAAAGTTCCAGTAAGATTCCGTCATCTGGTTATCTCGACGTTTGAAGACATGAAGAAACGAGCTTCGATGGAAAGTAGAGAAAAGAATCCGACGAGGATCTTGGGAATCCTAGAGATTCCGTGATCATGACTGTTCATCGTATATCGTGCAGTAAGTTTTCTTTATGTACTATTTATATATAATTTTAAATTTTAAATTTTAAAATAATTTTTTACTGCACAATGCACGATGAATAATTCCAATCACACAAACTCCTTAGAATTCCTAAGAAAAAAATCCAACGAGGATCCTTTTCCGGAAAGTAGGTGACTGCATTTTCTCTGCGTCTGTGTGGAAATTATTAGGGTGCCTACCTTTTTGTCACAGATTGTTGAATTTACAACAGCCTTTCTGGTATAGTACCGTCATTCATTAATCCCGTTTGTCAATTTGAATTATCAAGGTACAAGAATAAACAGAGAAATACTTACAAACATGAGTTTTTACAAACGATAAATAATTGAGAAATTTTATTTAAATTCATCTAATCTATTTCTACACTCAACTTACTCTTTACACCCATTTAATTTTTAACTAAACTATTAGTATCTCTTTAAACTCAAATTTAATACATAATATACCCTCATATACCCAATTCAATATGTAAATTTATTTTTACACCCATTTGATTTTTAGAAGCTAAATTTGATGGGAGGAAGCTCCTCCTGTAATTTGTTCCATGGCAAGGAACTGGTCTGGAATTCGTACCACCAATCTGAACTTGATTTCTTTGGTTATTCCATTCCACAGGACACTCCCACCAAGACTTTACATGGGGCCGCCATGCTCCTTGACAGGCCACCCAAATAAATTAGGATCAGTGGATGCTTTTGTGGCAAGTGACTCCATGCACCTTTTTGGAATGTTGAGTTCTTCAACATAAGGGAGAATGTCATCACAAGTTTGAAATTGTTGATCGTATCGAAGTCAGATCATGGTTTTCTATTTGCAACTCATGGTTGACCAATTCATAAATTGAAATCAAACGAATAAAAATTTCATAAATTGAGTCATACTTTGGTTGGAGGATTTAAAACTTCAAAATCACCATCCATCAATAAAAAAACTTATTTTTCTCTATGAGAGCTATTAGAGTTTTAGCTAGAATGAACGTAGGATAAATAAAGAGTGATCATAGGGTTTAATTATAGTGTTTGAGTTTATTGATAAATTTGAGTTTTATTATTAATTTCATTTTGTACTTAATAGTAATTATGCAATAGGATAAAATAGACAATTAACATTTAAAATTTAAGTTGGGTGTAGAAATAGGTTAGATGGGTTTAAATAAAATTTCCTTAAATAATTTCATCAAAATTATGGAGAGGGGAGAGTTTGAGCCTGTGTTGAAGAGAAAGTTCCTAGCAAACATAACCTTTAAGATGATGAATAAGGCTTTTAGCTAAAATAGTATTTGAGATTGTCGTAACTTCTCATTTTGGTTTCTGAAATTTAAAATCGATAGAAGTGGTCTCTAAGATTGTTAACTGTTAATCATTTTATGAAAATTTTCAATTAAATTGAAGAAACCACCAGTTCAATGGGAGAGGTTGATTTGACAATAATACCTTCAATTTAATTGAAATTTATCACATAATAATCAAAATAATCGGTGGTAGATAATCCAATGACCATTTATATCGATCTGAAATCTCAAACTAAAATGAAGAATTATGTCATTTTCAATTATCATTATGACAAAAAAACTGAGGAAAAATATGTGTTGGAAGCAAAAATCAAGTACAAGGGCTCGTGTGCATGATTGTACTACATGTGTGGAATTTGACCGTTTGAGTGTTCTACATCTTTTGAAGAAAAATTCCAAATAATTTAAGTTTTGCTTTTCATATTTGTTTATTATGGAGGGCTGCGCGGAGAGGTCCAATCAAGTGAACCCATTTTGTCCGAATTCAAAGACGTTTTTGTATTCGTGACTCTATCTTAGACCAAATTATTCAGCTTTCGATTTACTGGTGAATGCCTAAATGAGATTAGTGTTTCTGTTTTAAAATTTGGTTCCAGACTCCAGAGTTTGAGTTTTTGTTTAGTCTAAAAAATCTTTAAGAATGCAAAACTAGTGACAGATTGTTTTTATGAATAGAATATAACTCTTCAATTCACTTAACCTAGATTCAAATTCTTTTTAATCTATATTAATTAATATACTAATATCACTTATAATTAAGAAATAAAAATTAAAAAGATTTTATATCAAACATATGTCATTTGGCGATGTGCTTGTAAGTTATATCTCAAATGTTTAATCTTGGTACACACAAGTGCATTATATTATCAATTTTTTTAGGGGCTCACCTTGTACAGGTGCGGATATACAAAAAAAAAATATATGTAATGAACATATTTTTTCCATAAAAAAAAATAGTTATGAAAATACTATTCTAGAAGATCTGGATGCTGGCTACCATTAAAATATAGATGTTTGTTCTTAAAATGCACATGATAAATAAATTTAAAAAAAAAAAATATGAATGCTGCATTATGTATTACATAAAGGTTTGACTAGGTATATTTTTTTTTAAATTAATAAAAATTCTCTTCATACCGTCGAATTTTTTTTTTTAAAATGAAATGTTATAGGGAACAACATTTTAACCGCACAATGCACGATAAATGATCCCGATCATAGAATCCTTAGGATTCCTAACAAAAAAATCCAATGAGAATCCTTTTCCGAAAAGTAGGTGACTGCATTTTCTCTGCGTCTATGTGGAAATTATTCGGGTGCCTACCTTTTTGTCATAGATTGTTGAATTTACAACTGCCTTTCTGGTATATTACCGTCATTCATTAATCCCGTTTGTCCATTCAAATTATCAAAGTACTTGAATAAATAGACAAATACTTACAAAAATGAGTTTTTACAAACGATAAATAATTGGAAAATTTTATTTAAACCAATCTAACCTATTTCTACATCCAATTTACTCTTTGCACCCATTTAATTTTTAATTAAACTATTAGTATTTCTTTAAACCCAAATTTAATACCTAATATACCTCCATATATCCAATTCAATATGTAAATTTATTTTTACACCCATTTAATTTTTAGAAGCTAAATTTGATGGGAGGAAGCTCCTCCTGTAATTCGTTCCATGGCAAGGAAGTGGTCTGGAATTCGTACCACCAATCTGAACTTGATTTCTATGGTCTGGCCCCCGTACTTATTCCATTCCACAGGACACTCCCACCAGGACTTTGCATGGGGCCGCCATGCTCCTTGACAAGCCACCCAAACAAATTAGGATTAGTGGATGCTTTTGTGGCAAGTGACTCCATGCACCTTTTTGGAATGTTGAGTTCTTCAACATAAGGGAGAATGTCATCACAAGTTTGAAATTGCCGATCGTATCGAAGTCAGATCATGGTTTTCTAATTGCAACTATTGGTTTGCCAATTCATAAATTGAAATCAAACGAAAAAAAATTCATAAATTGAGTCATGCCTTGGTTGGAGGATTCAAAACTTCAAAATCATCATCCATTAATAATAAAAAAAACTTATTTTTCTCTATGAGAGCTATTAGGGTTTTAGCTAGAATGAACGTAGGATAAACAAAGAGTGATCGTAGGGTTTAATTATAGTGTTTGGGTTTATTGATAAATTTGAGTTTTATTATTAATTTCATTTTGTACTTAATAGTAATTATGCAATAGGATAAAATAGACAATTAACATTTAAAATTTAAGTTAGGTGTAGAAATAGGTTAGATGGGTTTAAATAAAATTTCTCTAAATAATTTCATCAAAATTATGGAGAGGGGAGAGTTTGAGCCTGTGTTGAAGAGAAAGTTCCTAGCAAACATAACCTTTAAGATGACAAAAAGTGCTTTTAGCTAAAATAGTATTTGAGATTGTCGTAACTTTTCATTTTGGTTTCTGAAATTTAAAATCGATAGAAGTGGTCTTTAAGATTGTTAACTGTTAATCATTTTATAAAAAAATTTAATTAAATTGAAAAAGCCACCAGTTCAATGCGAGGGGTTGATTTGACAATAATACCTTCAATTTAATTGAAATTTATCACATAATAACCAAAATAATCGGTGGTAGACAATCCAAAGACCATTTATATCGATCTGAAATCTTAAACTAAAATGAAGAATTATGTCATTCTCAATTATCATTATGACCAAAAAACTGAGGAAAAATATGTGTTGGAAACAAAAATCAAGGACAAGGGCTCGTGTGCATGATTGTACCATAATATGTGTGAAATTTGACCGTTTGAGGGTTCAACATCTTTTGAAGAAAAATTCCAAATAATTTAAGTTTTGCTTTTCATATTTGTTATTATGTAGGGCTGCGCGAAGAATTCCAATCAAGTGAACCCATTTTGTCCGAATTCAAACACGTCTTTGTATTTGTGACTCTATCTTAGACCAAATTAATCAGCTTTCGATTTACTGGTGAATGCCTAAACGAGATTAGTGTTTCTGTTTTAAAATTTGGTTCCAGACTCCAGAGTTAAGTTTTTGTTTAGTCTAAAAAATATCTAAGAATGTAAAACTAGTGACGGATTGTTTTCATGAATAGAATATAACTCTGCAATTCACTTAACCTAGATTCAAATTCTTTTTAATCTATATTAATTAATATACTAATATCACTTGTAATTAAGAAATAAAAATTAA